TAGCCTTGAAACCCCTGTCTAATCAAGTATGAATTAAATATCCATGTTTCTTGTTTATAATAATGAAAACTGATTATTTTAATGTGGTTTCTCTACTAACGTGACTTACGCAATTTCACTACAGAAAAACCGAAAGAAATTATCATAAAAAAAACACTTTTAAATCTTTAAAAACGACAAAACCTTCCACGTTATTGATCAGATAAAGGTTTTAAATGTGAATCAGACATTGTCATCTTTGCATGGTGGGTCACAGTAAGATTAGTATTGATCAAAAGCGCTTTTTTTATCGCATTAAGCCTATACCCCCTTTCATTTTTCGCGAACACTCCCTTTAAGATAGATAAAAGTTTTATTTGTTTCGGAAATGAGAATTCGGGATAACCTTCCTCCATAGATCCCGAGTTTTATCTGCTGCCTCTAGCATGGCCAAGTCGGTAGAAAAAGTTTTCGGGATGATAATTATATTTTTTTTCATCAGAAAGAAAAAAAAATAACAAATATTAAGTTCTACACTGGTTTACATAATTATTCGAATATACTTATTTTCTCCAGTTTTGAGTAGATATAGATCTAGTATATTAAGCTCTACACTGGTTAATATAATAATAGGAGTATACTTACTTTCTCTAGTTTTGAGTAGATACAGATCCAGTATATTAAGCTCTACACTGGTTAACGCTGATCTCTTCAACTGTAGACTACTCATGTAATATTGGAAACACTGGAGAAAGAAATAAATATTCATCTGGTTTTACTTTTAACAAGTCTGGCACTTTTTGTTGAAAAAAGTTGAAGAATAGAAGAGGCAAAATGATATTTTTACAACTAGCTTGAGAACCCAGCCCTGCCAAGGTTACTAATAGTTACTTCCGCCGTTTACCCGCACTTTAAAGATTTTACAGGGAAACTAGATTTTCGCTATTAAAGTCTACCCACTTAACTTAGAATATCAAAACCAAGCTAAAAACATTTCCATGGGTCTACCGATTTCCCCAATAAAAATTTGAGGCAAATTGGTCCAGGGGTTTCGAGTTAGGACAAACAAACAAACAGACAAACAGATATTTCAACTTATATATATAGATAACAGGGACTCATATTACATTTCAACAACTTTAAGATAAACTGCAAGTTAAAAAATTATTAAATAGTTGAAAAATATTACAATTTAAAGTTTTGACAATAAAAAAGAAAAAATATTGATATTTGTTTTAAGGATTAAAGAAACTGATTACTCTCAAATTACTCTTAATTTCCTAATCCATTTATATTTGCAACCTGACGTCATATTTCAAAATTTGCCAGATCAACTTTCAAAGTTTGAAATTCAAAAGGTGTAACAATCTGGGACCAGATTAATGAATAGAAAAGTAGTTGAGCCGCGAAGACTTATTTAAACCACTTCAAAGGTCGGACCAATATCTAGATAAGCAGAGGCCAAATTTAAGGAATTTGAGCCGCAGCTTAAATTTAAGCCAAATTCATTAAATTCGGACACAGTTCAGAGGCCAAATTTAAATAATTTTAAAATTAAAAATTTGACATTAAAAGGCACCTTTTTTTTGATACTTTTTAAACAAAATTCATTGGTTTCCCAAATTAAGGAAATAAAACCTTAAAAAAAAATTCAAAATATTTATATTTCTCCATTCCTTTCTCTCCTCCTGGGAGAGAGTATCGAAGTTCTTGAGTAAACAGACCAACTCCTCCGGGGTGAACTTCAGCAGGTCCATAGCAGAGTTCTCCATTGAGACAGAGCCAGGGTCCTGAAAGGGACCGTTCATGAAAAATTTATCCGAATAAAATTCAAAATTCGAAAAATTTAATATAAAACCGTCGACAAAAGACTCTAAAAAAATCTCGTCTTTAAAAATATTGAGTTAAAAAAGATACAATTTTCCTATGAGACAGATTCGAGAATCCTGGAAGGGATTGTTCGTGAAAATGAAACAGAAAAAATTCAATATTCAAAAATATAAAACCGTTGAAAAAAGATAAAAAATCACAAATATTGAGTATAAAAAGTATAATTTTTTGAAGAGAAAGATCAAGGAACCTGGAAGGGACTGTTCGTGAAAAATGATTCTGAACTGAATCAATTGAAATTCAATATTCCAAATATTTTATATGAAAAAAAAAATCTTATTTTTATTTTTAAAACTACATATGTCGAGTATTAAAAAATACCATTATAATGTCATTTCTTTTTAAATTATTATTTCTATTCATAAATATAAAATCTCCCGTCTCGATCCTTTGAACTGACCTGAATTGCTGCTCTAACCAAATGCTGGGCATTAAATTGTTTTGCTAAATCAAGGATACGGGGATCCTCCTCACTTGTCTCAATTCTCTGGTTAAATCAATCAACCAATCAACCAATCAATCCAGTCATCAATGAAAAAGGATACACGGATCTTCTTTACTTCTCTCAATTTTCTAGTTCAACCAATCAATAAAAGCGCCAATCAATCAATCAACCATATCAAATGACATTACTCCGAACTTAAACTAATTACTGATTGGATGAATCAATATATCAGTTACTCAAAATATTAAAACATAAATTATTTCCTTTCAAACATTGACAAATTACTCATAAAATTAACCATTGATCAAAAACAAAATCAATTTACTCAAGCCGTCAATCAATTACTGAAAAAATAAATTAATCAAACATAAATCAATTTCTAAAAATAGTATTCATTATTTTAATAATGACCATTAAAAAATTATGAAAACAAACAGTTTAACATTGTCTGCTATCAGATAGTTTTGTTGATTAATTCCTTCATTAGTTCTGCCATAAGATCGTACAGACCCTAGAAAAATATAAGTATTTAGATTGTTAGGAAATAGATCTAAGAAATGAAGACCAAAGGAAAATCAGAATGTTAGGGACCCCCTACTTTACACATTTTAAACTCAAAGTGAATTTACTAAATCAAGATAAAGATAAGGTATTACAGCTTGTAATAGATAATTATTTAGATTATTTTCAAAAATCAGGTTAATTAGTTGATATTTTGTCTAATTAACAATATTTAAGCTCTCATTTCAAATCAAAATTTTGTTTATCATGAGGTCGAATTTAAAGAATGTGAGCGGCGGCTTAAATTTAAGCCGCGGCTCAAATATGGTTGGTTTCACTTCGCTCAATTGAAACCGGTTTTTGGCGGATTTAAGACGCGGCTCAAATTCATTAAATTCAGCCTCTGGCCTCGAACAATAATGAGACTGCACAAGATTTGAACGACAGGACGAATCAAAAATTGGGTACATCATCAAACTGACTTGAGTAATCGTGTTTCCGATTTTATCCGAATCAGTTTGATTCCGTCACGACCTTACGGAACCTTTCCGGAATCTGTTGAGAATCATGAACCATTAAACGTTTTTAAAAATTAAGGGAGGAACCTTTATTCACCGAATTACAAATGAATCTATCCCCTAGATGCTGCACAATGCTAGGTGTGACATGCTGAAAACTGTTCATGGGACGTTTATTCCATTTGGATTATGGAATTTATCCGAAATTATTAAACATTTTTCTAGCATCTAGGGTAGGGTAGATTTGTTCTTTAATTAGTTAAAAAATGTCTGCCAATAGTTTCTGAACGTTTTTACCAGGCAATCATACCAGGTAATCAATAGGAATCAATAATTGGAGCACAAAAGAGTTACGCGCATGCCGCGTTGAATTACAAGACAGAGAGAGTCTGTTCTAGCCACGGCGCTCGGACCTTTAACCTGTCCTAGCCGCAGCGCTCGCCACAGAAAGTGTCTTAACCTTCTCTCTTTCTTATAATTCAACGCAGCAAGCGCGCATAACTACTTTGGGCAACTATTACCTGTTTAGTATAATTATTATGATCTGTCTGGAGAAGAACAACTGCTATACTCTCACATAGAAACCTCTTTAGCTGCTCTTCTGTGGTCAGCAGCTCAGAAAGAGTCTTACGAGGAAGTGGAGCAGCCGCAGCAGAGCTTTTATGGATCTGAACACAGGGGAATTTATATAAAAGAATTCGCCACTCAACACCAGCTCCGTGGTGGAGGAAAAGGATTTTCAGGGCGGGCGGCCCTGAAGAGGTAAATATATTGGCATGAATTTTACTACTTTTTACACTTATTACGCTATTTCCCTTTTAAAATCTATCTTTTCCCGAACCAGTGATAACTGATAACTGATACTTCGACAAATAATTGAGAACCGTGCAAACATTTCTTCTTAAATGCTGATGCTCAAGTTCTTATTTCCAAGCAAAAAAATGAAAAATAAATGCTTAACCTTTTTTAACATCGTTTTATATCCATTAAATATCTTTTAATAATGAGTAGATACAGCCGTTGACAAGTAAAACAATAGAGAAAATAAAGAACACAAAAATATATTAATTTATTAACTTATTCTGCTCAGGGGCAAAAAGTCGGGTTCAGAGGCCGAATTTAAAGAATTTGAGCCGCGGCTTGAATTTGAGACAAGGCTCAAATATGGTTGGTTCCACTTAAAATTGTATTCAATGTTTCAACATTTAAGATTCGGACTCCGTTTATGGTATTGAACGTTAGTTTTGAATGTCTTTGATGATGTTTCACTATTAGTGTTATTAATCGTTTTGAATCCGAATTTAATGAATTTGAGCCGTGTCTCAAATCTGCCAAAAACCGATTTCAATTGAGCGCCGGCTTAAATCTTGAAACATTGAATATTTTAAGTAAAACCAACAGTATTTGAGCCGCGTCTCAAATTTAAGTCGCAACTCAAATTCTTTAAATTCGGCCTTTGGATCGTTTTTAGAAAAAAAATAATAAAACTTTGAAAAACATATATTCTGTTAAAGTTTGATTTTATTAAACTTAGCAATATATTCGACCTAAAACAATAAAAAGTCCAAAAAAGGTCAGAAAAACGATCGTTACGACACGTTCATTTTTGCTTTGTTTTTGGGCCGTTTTTTGCACAACTTCTGTTAGGGCTAAAACTTGGTCCATAGTGTAAGAAAAACTAATATTTAGAATACACAATTCAAGATAAATTTGTTTGTTACATAATGCTAACTTTTGACTCTGAAAGAAAATTTAAAGAAAAAACTTTAAACCAAATTGTCTGTTCCTATTAAGATTTTGTAAACAGTTGTCTAGGGATCCAAACAGAGCGGGGTCAATGCTTCCATCATTCTTACGGGCTATCAATCGTATCCTAAATAAGTATATAATTACTTAACAAACCTTGATGTGGGATATTATAAGCTTGGAGACAGGATACAGTGAAGTTGAGGCGGGATATAATAAAGTTGATGATGGGTGTTATAAAGTAAAGCCTTAATATTTTGAGATTGAGGAAGGGATATTATGAGATTGAGGCGGTATTTTATGTGGCTGAGGCGGGGCATTATGAGGTTGAGGCAGCATATTATAAAGTTGAGGTGGTATATTATGAGAATGATGCGGGATATTACGAGAATAATGCGGGATATTATGAGGTTGAGGCAGTAAATTGTGAAGTTGGGGCAGATTATAATGAGGTTGAGACCAATTATCATGAGGGTGCGGCAAGATATTAAGAGATTGAGGTAAATTATTATGAGGTTTATGCGTTTTCCTCTTATAATCTAAAGAATGAAACGGTTGAGTGGAATTCTAAGAAAATCATTAGAAAAATAAAAGATGCGTAAATACAAGTTTTTATGAGCCATTTTTTCATTTACCTGACGCTCTCTAGGGTTGCTAGAACCTCTGAATCCTCCACTAATATTCTACTAGCACCTTCATAGCTCTTCTCCAGTGATACAGCCTATACAATATATACAATGTACAATAATAGGCTTTCAGGACGCTTCGCGCCCATCTTCTATTTAAAATTGTGAACATTTTATCAGGAGTTTTATAAAATGGTCTTTAAGGAGCTTGTCAATTAGAAAAAGATGTTTGTGTTCGTCATTTAAATGTTTTTCGTTCGAAGTGTATTTTTTTCAGAAGTTTGTCTTTCAGAGGTTTGTCTTTCAGAAGTTTGTCTTTCAGAAGTTTGTCTTTCAGAAGTTTGTCTTTCAGAAGTTTGACTGTCAGGAGGTTGTCGATTAGGGGTTATGTCGTTAAGGAGTTAGTCGTTTACATGTTTGCCATTCAAAAGTTTGTTAAATCGTCTACCTTGCTGAGAAGATCGTCTAGAGGATCCCCTAGAGGTCCAAGGTAATCATGAAAAGCTCCAATAAGACGTAGGGTCGGAACAAGTTTGGGCTTCGGCTGGACAACTTCTGATTTTCAAGTTATATTGATGCTAGCTTGGAAACCCAGCACTGCCCAGGTTACTCAAAGTTATTACCACCGATTACCTGCACTTGGTTGATTTTACGGGGGAACTAAATTTTAACTATAAAAGTCGACCCACTCAAATTAAAATATCAAAACCAAGCTAAGAACATTCCTCTTGTGGCTTTCCCGAGTTTCCCAATAAAAATTTGAGTTATGATGAGTTTTATATATATATAGATTAATTAATTTAGAAAACTGGTTGTTGGGGGGGGGGGGGGGTTT